ACATGGGGGCTGCTCCATGGATGCACACGACTGCCTGAGAGCAACTAGAACAAACATGCGATTCAAACTACGACCCATTTACAGGCAGCACTGTACACGTACGTATTGTAAGTATATAGCCTTGATTTTCTCAGCTATATAAAAAAAGTGAAGGATTGGCATACAGGAAAAAACCCAGCAACGGTGAGGAAAAGAAAAAAAAAACTAGGCTGTTTAATGCCAAATAAATGATCCCTAATGAATCCTCTGTCCCTGAGAAGGGCGTGGCCCACACAGGAGAATGCCAATGATCAAGGAAAGCCTAAATCAGACGTCTTTTCATCTATTTGAGGAGAGAGGTTACATGAACATCGTCTAAAACAGCTACCAAATGATTTGAGTTTATACGTTTTCGCTGCATAAAAGGGAAGGATCCTGCATAACTGAAATGCACCTGAACAGGATGACTCTGACAGGCCTGCAGGGCCGTCGTGAAGACCAAAAGGGACGGGGACAGAGCTCTAACAAGCAGGCGCGGGGCAAGACGGGCGCTAACAAGTGAGCCAGGAGAGCGGGGGCGCGTCCCCCTCCCGGGCTATCCCGTGTTGGGGGCAGTCCTCTGGCTGCGTACCTTTGGCATGAAATGTCCAGCCCCTCCGCCAGTACTCCTGCAGCTGGACCCGCTCCTGCTGCCCCAGGCTGCACACCTCACTGTAGAACTGCTGCTCGATGTGCACGTAGGCGGCTGGGATGGCACCCGCCACCCCCTTGGCCCCAAAGAAACCATTCACCTCTGGGGAGGCCAGCAGGATCTGGTACTCGGCCCGTGTGCCCAAGACCAGGTCCATGTAAGCCTGGGTCAGGTTGAAGTAGCCGGTGGTGAGGTAGACCTTAGCACCTCGCTCGGCCTCTGTCAGCAGGGTCTCGGTGACAATCTCGTCAATATGGATCTCAAAGGGCTTCATCTGGATCAATGGATAAATCCAGGTGTCGGGGGCTGGCCTCCGGTCACCAGCAGCGGCTGCGTCTTCCTGGGTCCAAAGGGAGTCGCTGTGGAAGGTCTGGGCATGCAGCATCTGCTGGCGGGTCCTAGCTGAGTTGATCACATCCATAACCCTCTTATTGGCTGCCTGGCAATATGCAGCTCGGTCACCTAGGGGACACATGGGAAAGAGGAATAAAGGGCAGAGAAATGGAGGCTCTGGACTCCAGCGCAGCACAGGGGACATGGCACATGTCCCATTAGACTTCAGTGAGAACACTTATCAACAAAGACCCGTGCAGGAATGACAGAACAGAAGGAGAGCGAGCTACAAAGCCTGACACAACCATGACAAAGCAAGCTTCACGGGGCTGGGGACAGCGCAAGGGAGGCTCCAGGACAGAGCATGGACGGGCAGGCTCAGGCCCCTTCGTACTGACACAAGACACCGGTGACAACTGGCTGTCCAGACACAATGAAGGGAAAAGAAATGATGACCTTAAATGTTGTTAGGGAGAAAAGACAGAAAATTAACGAGCTAAGGCATCCAACTAAGAAGTTAGGGGGAAAAACAACAGGATAAAACAAAAAACACAGTATAACGAAGAAAATTATAAAGAGAAGAAATTAACAATGAAATCAACAATACAAAAATGGAGAATATCAATACTGTCAAAAGTTGATTCTCTGAAAAGACTGGTAAGCTAGCAAGCCTTCAGCAAGGTGGGTCAAGAATAAAAGAGAAAGAGGGAAGGACGGCTGTCCTGGTCATCCTTACTCGCTCACACACTCTGAGCTGGGAACAGGGACACACACCTGAGTGTCCCTCAGGGCTGGGCTACAGAACAAAGAGAAGGAATGGCCTGTGCATGGAACCTTCCTTATTGGCACCGAGGAGCCACCAGGGAAGGAGGCAGCCGCCCTCCACACGTTTGTCTCGGCTGTGAGTGTCCCTGCATCTCTCTGTTCACTAATGCCGTGGGACCACCCCTTCTGAGCCGCCCTGGCCCCCGAGCACGTGTGTTGCCCAGCTTCCCCGACCTGACCCCTGAGCACGCTGACTCTCATTCCTCCCTGAATGTGGGGCCCTGTTCATGAGTGGCCTGTTGAATTTAACCAGGGTTCAGCCAATGTTTTCTGTACGGGCCAGTAAATATTTTAGGCTTTGTGGTCCAGAAGGCAAAATTGAGGATAATACATAGGTACTCATATAACAAGAGAAAAAACAGATTTCTATAAAATTTTTAGTGATAAAATTCAAAATATAATAGTCATAACTGAGCATCCAGGCTGGCAGCAGGCAGGCAGGCACACAGATCACGGACTGGCTCCGAGGCCCACAGTTTCCCTGGCACCCAGGACAGGGCTTCCACCAGACATCCCCACTTGGATGCTTCCATTCTGGGTCGGGGACCTAAGGCCCTTTCTCCTTCCCCGGACTGGGTTAACCCCTTCCCTGCTTTGCTGGCACTGCTGCAAATTCAGCAGTAGACCTTCTTAAAGGCCACCAGGAAGCCAAAGCCACAGGAATCACAGGAATGCAAATGCCCCCAGGAAGCTGGCTGCCAGGATTTGCTGGTTCCAGAGAGCAGAGCTGAGGGCTCTCCCATTTCACTTCCCAGGCAGGAGGCCACAGACCTCAATGGAGCTGAGAGCCACAGAGCCTCTGTGCTGCAGAGCTGGGGGCGCTGGCCCTGAGGAGGGCAGTCATTTAGCAGACTGCTTCCTGTAAGCGCAGGACAGGCTCCTGGCTCAGCCCCCGGCACCCAGACCCGAAGCTCACATCCCCGCCTTCCCAGGCCGGCTCCCTCACCCACAGAGCATGACTGACGGCCAGTGAGTCACATCTGTCTGGCTTCAGAGACAAAAGCAGAATGAGGCTCTGCCACCCCAGTCTCCCAAGCCCGAGGCAAGGCCACCAGAGGCGTGCTCTCTTCAGCCCTCACCCCACCCCCACAAGCCCAGGACCCTACCTTTGTAAGGGTGCACCATCCCCTCCGCCACCTGCACCGTGTCATCCCCCCGCAACTGCAGGGACACGTCCCCCACCGCGCCCACCAGCTCCGTGAAGAAGTCTGCAACCTCGGGACAGTCCTGCAAGAACACGTAGCGGTCCTGGCGGTTGGTGAAGTAGGAGTCACTCAGGTTTGCACTGCAGGAAGGAAAGAAGCAGCTGAGGACTCAGGTAAGAGTGTGTCACGGCAGGCCCTAGTGACCCAGGGCTCAGGTTAACCAGCAGGAGCAGGGGAGTGACAGGCTCGGATCAGGACACAATAGCAGCAGCCAATTAACAAACAGCTACTGAGCATGACCACTCACAAGAGACAAGATGGCACTAAGGTGACACCAAAAAGGGAACCGCAAAACCCTTCCCCTCACAGAGCTGACAATCAGCTGAGAGAGGAGATGTGACAATTACTAAGCCAACTAACCACACAGGGCTAGTTACCAGTCCCGTGCTTTGCAATCAAAAGACCTGGATTTCCATCCTGGCTCTGTATTTTTCTTCTTTTGTTTTTTTGGGGGTCTGCCTATTCAAGTTATCCATCCTCTCCAATCTCTGGTTTCTCGTGTATAAAGTGAGGAAAGTATGACAGAGGGTCACCACGAGAATTAAACAAGACGTACACACAAGGGGCTTAGCGTGGTGGCTAGCACACAGCAAGTGCTCAACAAACCGTGGCTATCTCTTAATCGCCCTTTGTGAGTTTCCAGCCTCCACAGCAAACACGGTGCCATGGAAGACACCAAGAGAGCAAGGCAACCAAAGTGGGTTCTCAAAGGCTTAAGGAGACAGATTTTCCCTTCTCCATGTTCTGCTGACTTCCACCCTAGAGAACTTTTTTTTTTTTTTTGCACTGAAGAAGAGTCGCCCTAAGCTGACATCCACTGCCAATCTTCCTCTTTTTTTTTTTGGTACATGAGCTGCCACCACAGCATGAGCAATGACAGACAAGTGTGTAGGTCTGCGCCCAGGAACTGAACCCCAGGCCACCGAAGCAGAGCATGCTAAACTTAACCACTAGGCCACCAGGGCTAGCCCACCCTGAAGAAGATTAAGGGGAGATGCTCGACGGAGGGAAGCAAGCTCACCCACTCAAGATGACATTGTTGTCAAAGAGGTACACTTTAATGTGCTGCAGGCCAATGGTCTCGTTGAAGCGCTCAGGGATCAGGAGCCGAAGCAGTCCTCGGAGGTTAGGGGTATGGAAGAGGGAGACTCGGACCTGTTCTGGAAACCTCTGTAAGAGCGGGAGCAGCATTGTGCGAGAGTTCTTTCTACCTGAATACATGGGCGAGCAGAAAAACAAGGATGGGCGACTCACACTAGGTAGCAGACCCACCTGCCAGTGAGGAATCACCCACTGCGGGCTCACGTTCGCCTGCCGCCCGTTCAAATCGGGCAGACCACCTAGTGCTTCTTCCAGCCGGGGAACTCCGACTAAATCTGTTCTCAACACCAGCCACGTCTTGAGGCAGCACTGGGGTGGTCGGTGCTGCAGATATCTGCTGTTTTAGCCCCACCTCCTCCTGGGGTGTACCACTCTGCCCCTATTCTCCTCATTTCTGCTCTGGGCGAAGATGACTCTGCCCACCCTGAGCCCTCACCCCCAGCTCCCCAGGCACACAGCCTGGCCTGGGCCAGTAAGCACCCTCGGAGGCCCTGATGGATGGCCCACGGACCACTCAGGACCTCTGGTCTGACCAGGAGGGAAGCAGTCTCACTTCCAATGGACAAGATGCCACGGCAAGACAGCCCCGGGGCCACCAGAAGCCACCGCACAGAGCCTGAGAATGAAGCCAGCCCAGAGGAAGCAGGGCCAGGAGCTGGGTCCTGGTGACACAGCTGAATCCCAAATCATGACCGGCCTGAAGCAGGTCAGTCACGGGAGTCAAAACAATTCCCTTTTCTGCCTAAGCTATGTTTACTTGGGCTTTCAGGCACTCACCACAAAAGGAATCCTAACAGACATGAGGCAGTCCTGGGCCAGCCTGGACGGTCTTAAATGGCCTTGCCTCTGCCTGAGGACCCGGGAGGCAACAGTGTAATTCCTAAAACGGAGGCTCTGAAAGAGGGAGAATCAGGGCCGGGGAGAGTGTCAGCCCTACCTCGAGAGCCTCGTGTGAAGTCCAGGAGAATGGACACCTTGAGGTCTGAAGGAAACTTTGTTTGGAGTGACTTTTCTAGAGTGCTTTCCAGGCAATCCACCTATCAAGAAAAGAACCCCGAAAGAACAGAAGTATGAGATCCAAAAAGATGATTATGTATGAAAAAACAAATCAACTTGTCAGCTGAGACCCTGCCATCTTCTCTGAACACACATGCGCACCATGAGCACTCAGGAGCCAGCGCAGCAGAACGTCTTCAGTTGAGAGGCCTCTGTCACGGCAATCAGAAGACGCCGCCTGCCGCCCTCTCCCACCTGAACCTTGTGGAGACAGCGGCCTGAGGTCCAGAAGCGTGTTGCTGAGCAGTCTGGACCTTGCCACTCCTGGACACGCTCCCTAACACACCAGCTCCCACACGTTTCACCAGATCACGCTCACAGACATACAACAGGCAGTGCCCAACACATGGAGAGGACTCAGTAAATACTTGTTGAACGAATGAATCCAAGACCCAACCTGCCCACGGCCATTCTCCATGGGTTGGACACGACATTCTCTTCCCAGGAGAACAAACAGGCTTCCCAAGCTTGCAGCTCAGGGGACGTCCTGGAATCAGAGGGTGGCCTCCTTCCTAGGTGAGGAAGAGGAGAGTGGAAGCACTTATGCTCACCCACCCTCAATCTCCACACCCCAACCCCTGCTGTCTCCCAGCTCCTACCTATGGGCTTCTGAACAAGTATGAACCAAGAAACAAAACTTATTGTGGGCAATGGGCCACTTCAGACCTCAGAGTAGAAAGCCATCCCAGAGACAAGACAACAGAATGATCTCATTCACAGACTCACATCAACTCAACCTCTGGATTCCGCCCACACACCAGAACCTGCACTGGACTCGTACCACAAGGAGCAAGCCTTACACAAACCTGCTGATTTCTGCTCCTTCCCACTCCTGCCCATGTCACGGTAAGTGACAAGTACGGCATGACAGCAAGTCCGGGGGAACAAGGCTTGCTGTAGACCTGACACCTACACCAGCCCTTGGCATGAGCAGCCAGCCAGCCTGACCTGCACTCCAATTCATCTGTCTAGTACAGGCTCAGAACACCTTTGCTGTAAAGGACCAGATAGTAAATATTTGGCGCTCTGCAGGCCAGATGGTGTTTGTCACAATTACTCAGTTCTGCCACTGCAGTGAGAAAGCTGCCATAGACAAAACACAAATGAATGAGAGTGGCTGTGTTCCAATAAAGCTTTATTTATGGACACAGAAATTCGAATTTCACAGGCTTTTCACGTGGCATGAATATTCTTCTTTTGATTTTTTTCCAGCCTTTGAAAATGTACAAACCATTCTTACGTCACAGATTAGACAAAACAGGCAGCAGACCACATGTGGCGTGTGGGCCGTGGTTTGCCAAGCCCTGGCCTGGAGCAGCCTAAGGACCCCTGTGCAGGGTGAGCAGGACGCTGGCCAGCACGGCCAGAAGGCCCAGGATTAGACCTCCCTGCACCCCTTCACCACTCCTCTGACACACCTCAGTATCTGAGGCAACAAGAACAAGAGCCGGCCACAGACGAAGGCCATGGAAGGGCAGCTCAACCCCAACTCCATGGGGCTCTGCAGCCATGAGGTTTCGGGGTGATTCACTGCTGCTGCTAGGACCACCTCCCCTTAAACCTTACCAATTCCTGTTCCAGAGGACCTGTCCCCAGGTAGAGGGATGCCATCACGACCCGTCTCTTGGCAACTTTTATTTGCCCCTGAAAGAGGAGAAACAATTCAAAATTCACAATCATCATTTTCACAATTCACTGAGAAAATATAGTCCTTTGACCTTGGCAGCAAATGATAATCGAAGCTGGATTATCCTCTATCTTCACCAACTAATATTTACAGCAAGTCCAAAATGTGTATGGTAGCCTACCAAATCAGGACCCACAATCCTCACACAAACACTCAGCCTGAAAGGACAGCGTGACCTAACTGTAATACGAGACACAGTGCAGCCCCTGAGAGAGGAAGGAGGCCTGTGCACACTGATCTGGAAGGACACCCACAACGCACAGCTGGGAGACAAAAGGCAGGTCACCCAACACAATGCAAACCATGCCTCCACTGTTGACACCCCCTCACTCACCTGTACAGGCAGACACACGTGGGTGTGTGTGCAGGGCATGGAAAACACACACCAAACTGCCAAGAGCTGTCCCCAAGGAGGAGAGCTAGAGAAGGGAGCGTGGGTGCGAACTTGCCCTCTGCTCTACCCCCATCTGCATGATCAGGGTTTTTTAACAAGCATGCATTACTTTCGAAAGGCAGAGAGACAGGCACCTAGGCACATACACAGAGGAGACCAACATTCAAAGATGACACGTCACATCAGTCCTAACATCCGGTGTCCTCCCACTAGACCTGCTCCAGCCCCAGGAGAACAGTGACCAATCTCTGGAGTTCTAAGCAGTCCCACCCCAGAGGAGGTGGCAAGGGCAGAAAGAATGCAGCACAATCAAAGGTCAAGCTCCCGAAGGGTACACAGGAGAGCACGGCCTCGCAAGAGGAGCGAGGAGAAAGCATGGCACACGTCTGTTTTCCTACCAAGAAGGGATGTCGCACCCACAGCCTGCACGGTCCACAGAGGAAGAGGGGCATCTTGCCTGAGACGTACATGAACACACCACTGGGAAAAGGCTCACATCCAAGAAAAAACAAAAGAATTTCCCACATTGGCTGCTTCTTGTGTTTTGTTATTTATTAAGAAGGATGCTTGTGGGGAAGGTGATTAAGAAGAAAGGAAAACAACAAATAAGGTATAAGGCAATTTCATCCAGGCAGCAAAAGACTATTTGACTGTGTACTGTGCGACCCAGTCCTCTGGTGCACTCTCAGCTCTAACGGGCCCAGGGACCAGCAGAACCGCCGTATTCTTTCTTCTCAGGGAGCACAGGCCGCTCTGTCTTCCCTGGGAAGAAACACATCCCACTCAGCAGAGTACAGGCCGGGAGACTCTGCCCAGGACTCAGTTCAGAAAGCAGGAAAAGGAGGCCTCGGCTTCTTCCTGGCCTGTAGGTGAGGCCCCTCACGCCTCCACACCCCCACCCACCCGTCCTGGGCAGGTGTGCAGCACGGCCCGGCCTCCCGGCCTGGGGATCATCACATGGAGACAGTCAGTCATCACCCAGAGCTGATCAGGGCACCGAGAAGAACATCCTTTGAAAAACCTGCTTCTTCAAGCCAAGCAGAGAATCAAGTGGGAGCAAAGAGCAAAAGGCCTCAGCATCAGTTCTGCACAAACAAGGACACACAGGACAGACAAACTGTGCAAGGAAGTGGAGGAGAGCACATGCACATACAAACGCACGCACACTGTCTTGTGGAATGAGCCAGGCAGAAATTAAGTATGGATCTACAGATCAACACGGCAAAAGGTGAGAAAATGTGCAAGCATTCAAATGCACTAGAGCTCATTCTGTGGAAAAGTGAATCTCTACATATATTTTCTATTATCTCCTAGCATTCTGCCAGTCTGACCTCATCATACCTTAATTCTAACATCATTGTTAATATGAACTCAGAAAGTTCATGTTAATAAAAATTAATTGGCATTGAATTACTTCATTCTAATTAGCAGTTTAACCTCAAGTAACTAGACATGGCATGAACATCTGAGTAATGTACTGAAAGCTGAACCCCACAAATGCAAAATTGAGTATCTGTATCTCTACCAGGAGAGAGAGGCACAAACTTCAGACAAAGTCACAGAAAAGAACCAAGATTTTTACACCAGGTATATCACATCTACCAAAATGATACTACTGTGTCTTGGAGATGTTTCCAGGGGCAGGGGTCTGTCATGACTAGAATAAAGGTTTTTTCCTTCCTAGACATCTCTAGCAGAGACATGTCCATGTGGACCACATGTCCTCACTAACCTCTCCTTTAGCAGTCTACACTTTTAACATAGAACAGAAGGAATCAGTCGGTCCATAAGAATCCAAATCCAGGACGTGACACTCACTGCCCCACGCTCTGAGCTCCTCTACCTGGGACACCAGCCACGCAGGAGACCTTCTGACTGTAGCTTGACTTAATGATTTGTGAAGCTGAAAACTAACAGGCAGGGCCCACAGGAATAAGCTGAGCAGCCATCTAAAGCTTCTAGAACAGAAGGTGCTTCTGCCCAGGACTCACTCAACCTTATGCCCCAAACCTCTAACTCAAATGTCTTTCCTTCTCTCCTTTAGACACAACTTACCTTCATGAGCTCAAAAAACTCGGCTGGGGAAGAAAGCACCCTGACGTGAGAACTGGAGACTCCAAACTCTGGAACCAGGTTTCTGATCCACTGGAACCTGTGCACGCCCTCTGGACACAGGCAGCAAGGAGGGGAAGTGACCTGGGGGACAGTTGGGGACAGCAAAGGACCCAACAACAGCCATGGTGACCTGGTTAAAGAGACATGCAAAGGGTCATACTTCTCAAATACTTCCTCAAAAGTCTGTCTCAGGGGCCGGCCCCATGGCCAAGTGGTTAAGTTCACGTGCTCCGCTTTGGCGGCCCAGGGTTTCACCGGTTCAGATCCTAGGCATGGACATGGCACCGCTCATCAGGCCATGCTGAGGCGGCGGCCCACGTGCCACAACTAGAAGGACCCACAACTAAAATATACAACTATGTACTGAGGGGATTTGAGGAGGAAATAAAAAGAATATTGGCGACAGTTGTCAGCCCAGGTGCCAATCCTAAAAAAAAAAAGGTCTCACTCAGCTACTTGGGGGGGAAGATGGAATTTTGGGGAGAGGTCAATTTCAGATTTTCTAGACCATTTTAAGTGAGCCCAAGTCAAACTCTTCAAAAGCATTTTTCCTCCAGCCCCTACTAGTCGAGCAACTTGAGAAGTACCGATGCCTACGGACAAACTCCAAACTTTAAGTTGATTCCAAACAACTCCAAATTTAGGGCAGCCGCAGGGAATCCAGAAAAGCCACTGGCTGGTTAGTACTGCCACCCCCAGCAAATGCACCTGCACAAAGCCGGTGAAGGCTGTC